TTTCATGGTTACCACTACGTTATGAATATTCATAAAGTCCTTTAGCATTTGTTTGTGCCCACTGTATCATAATTATTCATGTCATTACCTTTTATAGTTACCACTGCATCATGACTATTCATAAAGTCCTTTAGCATTTGTTTGTGACCACTGTATCATAATTATTCATGATGTCATTACCTTTTATAGTTACCACTGCATCATGACTATTCATAAAGTCCTTTAGCATTTGTTTGTGACCACTGTATCATGAATATTCATGATGTCATTCCCTTTTATGGTTGCCACTGCATCATAAATATTCATAAAGTCCTTTAGCATTTGTTTGTGCCCGCTGTATCATAATTATTCATGATGTCATTACCTTTTATAGTTACCACTGCATCATGACTATTCATAAAGTCCTTTAGCATTTGTTTGTGCTCACTGTATCATAATTATTCATGTCATTACCTTTTATAGTTACCACTGCATCATGACTATTCATAAAGTCCTTTAGCATTTGTTTGTGACCACTGTATCATAATTATTCACGATGTCATTACCTTTTATGGTTGCCTCTGCATCATAAATATTCATAAAGTCCTTTAGCATTTGTTTGTGACCACTGTATCATAATTATTCATGATGTCATTACCTTTTATGGTTGCCACTGCATCATAAATATTCATAAAGTCCTTTAGCATTTGTTTGTGCCCACTGTATCATAATTATTCATGATGTCATTACCTTTTATAGTTACCACTGCATCATGACTATTCATAAAGTCCTTTAGCATTTGTTTGTGACCACTTTATCATGAATATTCATGATGTCATTACCTTTTATGGTTGCCACTGCATCATAAATATTCATAAAGTCCTTTAGCATTTGTGTGTGCCCACTGTATCATAATTATTCATGATGTCATTACCTTTTATAGTTACCACTGCATCATGACTGTTCATAAAGTCCTTTAGCATTTGTTTGTGCTCACTGTATCATAATTATTCATGATGTCATTACCTTTTATGGTTGCCACTGCATCATGAATATTCATATCATGGATGCATATGGCAGTCTCTACCACCACCACCATGTTAGTGACATAACTACCTAAATTACCACCATCCATATTAAACATCAAACCCCCACATCCAGATTTGATGAAAATGTATGTTTCAGTGTGAACTTATCTTATTTATTTTAGGAGATATTCATGGCACATGCCTTGAAACGTATATCCTATTCCACCTGTGATCCTGCTAATAGACAGTTCGCATTTCTAGCTCGTAATCCTAGTGGTCCGCTAGGAGTCCAGTATTGCCACTGTTTTCTAACAAGAAGAAAAGAAGAGGTAGGCTATATCACCTTCTATACAGAGCCCCAATCACCAATTCAGAAAAGTATATAGAAATGTAGAATATTGTCCTCACTTTCACTTTCTGTTTTCCAATGAAAAATTCAGCATTTGTATTGAGTTATAGTGCTCCCAGTTTCCCTATATAAAAATAAAAATAGAAATGTTGTTGAATGACGCCCTCTATTTCACAATTTGTTTGTCAGAAAAAACCACATTGTAGTGTTATGTAGCGCCCTCTATCTCATCATTTGTGACTATACTTAAGAAATAATGTAATAGTAGCTCCACAGTTATTAATTTGTATAAAAAAACATTGCATGCAACAGCTGCTTGACCTTAATCAACTAATCACCCTTGATATATGAAAGTTCCTATTTTTATGTCATACATATCTGTATAAAGTTCATTTAGTGCAGATTATGTGTAATATGTTCAGCTGTTCGAAAAAGAATATCATGATGTGTGTTGATAATACAGTCTGTATACGTCCCATAGATCACCTAATCTATCCTTCCCCTCACATTGTCTAATATGTTGTATCTGATGAAGAGCTGTTTAATATTGACAGCACTATCTTGACCTGCTTCGTCTGAGAACACAGACACCTGTCATATCGGTCACAGTTCACATAAGTTGCCTATTTTCAGGACATATTCAAATAATCTGTTTTGTGCACGGCAAGGTAAATATTCCAGCCCTACAACCGGGACCACTGATAAAAATCCTGGACCAGTGTTTTGTTTTGTTCATTCACCTGATGGTCAGACACAGTTATTTTAAACCATGCATGTCAAAAAAAGTTTACCTCCATGTTTCAACCAGTATTTTATTTTGTGCTTTCACCAAATGGTCTGAACTACTTTAATACAGTTACTTCAAATGTGAAGGTTAAATAAGATACCTCCAATTTCAACAGAATTCACCCTGTTGCCTGTTTATTAGATCATCACCCAGAGACCCTTATCCTTCTTAGCAGCTTCAAGGCATTAAATCATCAACCAAACTTTTTGAACTCAATTGACGTACTGTTAAATATTTTATTTTGGATTCAGTGAAAATAAAATCCAATGAATATACCTTTTTTCCTAGTTTTTACATTTTACTTGTCAAAAATAAGTGAAAATAAATTCCATACTAAACACCCAAAAAGTCTTTCAGCGAAAATTAATTCCAGCTAAAATAAAGTATTTTACAGTTATTTGTGCTCTTGTTGCTATAACTCAAAAACAGAGGCTTGTAAAAGTATAATTTTTAGACAATTTCAATTTGAATAGACGGTGTAATTTGTAACATGAAGATAGATAACTGGTCACTGGTTGCATAGTGGTTGTTGCATCCGACTCATTATCGGTAGACCCAAGTGCAAATCCTACATTAGGCTGAACACCTAAAGGGTCGACCCCTACCCTGGGTGAGTGTGCCACAGACTCAATGGGAAGGCCAATTCATTCACTATTGAATGCGACTTGGGGGAACCTTGGTTAAGGTCTGCAGGTGCTTGTATTCGACCGAGCCTGATTGACGCCAGGATAGCGCACTAAATTGCCATTTGATAGAGAGATGGCCACACAGCCTTGTCATGCAGTCTCAAATATGAATATGGCTTCTGTGGTAAAAATGCACTATGTGTCAGCACTTGCAAAAAATAAGTCAGGTAGGACAACAGTGACATTCATTTTCCAGAACTGTCATATTGCACAAAAAACATTTTTAAAAAAAACCTGAAGATAGTTAAAAATTAATACATTGAAACATTTTGATTCTACTCTATAAGACACGTTGTTAGTCCCCGTTCGGACGAAGTTCGAAAACAGGGACTTATAATTCGGTCTCCGTTCTTGCGTCCATCCAGAGTCATATCTCAGAATCCCTTGGGCCGATTCTGTTCATTCTTTGCATGTGCCTAGTACTTTATGTGGGACATATGCACATGCAATGGTTTAGTGATTTGATTCAAAATGGCCGACTGGCAGCCATCTTGTTTTTTGAAAATGTTGTATTTTGGACATGCTTTGTCAGTTTTCATTCAAACTTGGTACATAGATTATACATATTAGATACATGTCCATGACGATTTATTTCACAATTGGATCAAAGATGGCCG